TTTAGCAATAATTGTTTGCGTTCATGTAGGGCAGGGGTGGGGAACGCGAAATCATTTGGGTCTGGCCCTGCCAAGGCAACCGCAGGCGGGACTCGAAATTCAATAAATCTAGGAGCAAACCTGTTGCGAGTAGCAACATCATCAATACCAGCTAACATCATCACCACGCCTCGCCAAAGAGAAGCAGTTCCAGCCCATCGCATTAGCGGTGAGTTAATTAAATGTTTGACCAAATATAACGGGCTAATTTTTAAGTTGATGATTTTGTATGGCCCCGCGAATGATGTTACAAATATCCAAATGGCCCTTGGCAGAAAAAAAAGGTTCCTCCACCCCTGCTGCAGGGAAACAAAAAGAAGGACGCGGGTGGATGTCCTATTTGGAACCGTGAACCAAACCCCTCGTCGTGAGTTTGCGGACCGTGGATTTACCGACTACGGCAGTTTTCAAGAATGTAACCACCGTGATGAGCAAGTTTTTAAAGTAGACCTCGCATCCTAGATGATCATGGTGGAAATGGGCCGGTTGTGGAAATGGGCCGGTTGTGGAAATGGGCCGGAACACCGTGGTATGAGTGAGAATTTAAACCCGACTGCATTCGGGAAGGAATCAAGGATCGTCGTATTTGTTTAATTCACAGATAGACACTTTTTACTATTTCTCTTTACAACCACCGACATATGTAACGTAGGCTAAACGATTGACCCTGTAATTGATGGTAAATAAATGGCGAGAGCCCGTCGGATTGAAGATACTTTTTTATTATTATTTACAGCGCAGAAAATTAGAAACTTGAGTCGAGAGGCAAAGCACAACTCGACTACGAAGCGAGACATTAAAGAATGAAAACAGATCTGAGGCTAAAATTGAATCTCTATGCCAGGGCAGGATTAACCCATAGGCTAATGAGGGCTTACGTCTTATTTTGTATGCCCTTCAATCCACGGTAGCGTGTCCATCAGAAATGTTTTGCCTTTGATGTATGTTGACAATATTCGTGACTTTAAATTACATCGATATCATGTGTGACTTCGAATTACGACATTATTCGTGACTTTGAATCATGGTGACGTCTTTCGTGACTTGAATCACGGTGACATCATTCGTGACTTTACGATGACATCATTCATGCCTTTGAATCACGATGACGTAATTCGTGACTTTGAATCACGATGACATCATTCGTGACTTTTAATCACAGTGACATCATTCGTGACTTTGAATCACGATGACATAATTCGTGACTTTGAATCACGGTGACATCGTTCGTGACTTTGAATCACGGTGACATTTTTCGTGACTTTGAATCACGGTGACATCGTTCGTGACTTTGAATCACGATGACATCATTCGTGACTTTGAATCACAGTAACATAATTTGTGACTTTGAATCACGGTGACATAATTCGTGACTTTGAATCACGATGACATCGTTCGTGACTTTGAATCACGGTGACAATTCGTGACTTTGAATCACGGTGACATCGTTCGTGACTTTGAATCACAGTAACATAATTCGTGACTTAGAATCACGGTGACATCGTTCGTGACTTTGAATCACAGTAACATAATTCGTGACTTAGAATCACGGTGACATCATTCGTGACTTTGAATCACGATGACATCATTCGTGACTTTGAATCACAGTAACATAATTCGTGACTTAGAATCACGGTGACATCATTCGTGACTTTGAATCACGATGACATCATTCGTGACTTTGAATCACAGTAACATAATTCGTGACTTAGAATCACGGTGACATCATTCGTGACTTTGAATCACGATGACATCATTCGTGACTTTGAATCACAGTAACATAATTCGTGACTTTTAATCACAGTAACATGATTCGTGACTTTGAATCACGATGACATCATTCGTGACTTTGACCTTGAATTGTGATACCATTCGTGACTTTGAATCACCGTGACATAATTCGTGACTTTGCCACAGCTCAAGTTAGGAGAGGAAAGAAAATTATGTTTTCTTGAAGAAATTAGTGTCGTGAGCGATTCGTATTACATGAATTTACCGCGAGCCGAATTAACGTGTGAATTTTACAGTGGTGAAATAAATGTGTTTGATGACTTCATACTTATTTTCGTTTACAATATGTAGTACGTTTACATAACTAGGCCCTTCCCTCCTATTAGCCTTAGGCCGCTCATATGCTAATGCCATAGAATGCTTAAACATGCGTTTAGACTATTTTGCTGATTGACATTTCCACATGGTAACAGGCGCTCGCGTCTGATTGGCTATTTACAATTCCCAGAATGCGCACGCAATTTGGCATCAAGAGGCATTTCACTTCGCCGCTGCCCCAAAGTGTTTGGGAGCCACCTTGGCATCTCCATTCTGCCATCTCTGTTCTCATTTAAACCGACTCTGTTTTTAAAAATCACAAAAATGTTAAGTGCGAATGTAATTTTACAACATAAATGCCATTATTATTAAGTATGTTTAAAAAATAATCTATTGTAACTGAAATGCTTTTATGTTGTTGGGTGGGAAATCAACTTCTGATTGCAATACAGAGGGTGGTCCAGATGTCCTGTGACCCCCCCCCCCCCCAATTTAATTCACTAAAACGTATTCTTTTAAAGTAAGGTTTGTTTAAAACTTAAACGAATATGCCAATAAATAAATACAAAATTCGAAGGGTCAATTCATTGGGGGTCACATGACATCTGAAACCACCCTGTACACCGACTACCACTGCACTAAAAAAAAATCTAAACAGGTAAGGCCCAATCTTGATTTGAAGCTTTCGTGACTGCAGGAATCCATACCCTTGGGTTCTTTCGGTAAAGTCACGTGGGTATAAAATAAAATAAATCACGACGTTTCGATCGCAACACAAGCGGTCGTCGTCAGGCAAAGGAGTCAGCCTCTAAAAATATGTACTCTTTGGTTCTATTCGGTAAAGTCACGTAGGTAAAAAATAAAACAACAAAAATCACGACGTTTCGGCCACAACACAAGCGGCCTTCATCAGGTGAAGGGAGCAGATTGTCTCGAGGACAGCGCTGGAGTTAAACACAGCCACGCTCAGACCGCGACCTTTAAGCTGTGTGTCAAGGCACCTTGTTTCCTCGCACACAGCTTAAAGGTCGCGGTCTGAGCGTGGCTGTGTTTCACTCCAGCGCTGTCCTCAAGACAGTCTGCTCCCTTCACTTGATGAAGGCCGCTTGTGTTGTGGCCGAAACGCCGTGATTTTTGTTGTTTTATTTTTTTACCTACGTGACTTTACCGAAGAGTATGGATCCTTGCAGTCACGAAAGCTTTAAATCTAGAATCTAAAAATATGCCCCGCGACTATATCATCCCTCGTCACATCCATCTCTGAGACACACTTAAGCGTTTGTGCTTTCGCTACGTTGTCCCCACCTGAAGAAGGACCGCTTGTGTTGCGCCCGAAACGTCGCGATTTAATTTAGTTGTTTTCATTTTTTATTATTTTTTTACCTACGTGACTTTACCGAAAAAAACAAAGGAGTCAGCTTCTAAAAACAGTTCGACCTTAGAGGCTGACTCCTTTGCCTGATGACGACCGCTTGGTGTTGCGATCGAAACGTCGTGATTTGTTTTATTTGAGTTCTACCTTCGTGACTTTACCGAAAGAACCAAAGAGTACGTAAGGCCCACTGAGGCTGCTTATGCAGCTTTTTTTCAGGAGCGACGTGACCACCACAGATGATGGCTCGGACCAAGCGGCTTATCGTCGCGTGGAAACTTACAGCATGTTCATGAGTGTGGAGGGTCAGACCGGAGCGTCCGGAGAAGAATCCACGCGACCACGGGGAGACCACGCAAGCCCCAAATATACTGCAGGTGTCAAGGGTCGGGATCGAACACCACGCCCTCCTGTATACCAGGCGAGGTAGTTGACGTCTCGCCACCAATCAACTCCCCGACGTACAACACAACAATACTGCACGCCTTGACAACATATACTAACTGCACAGTAAGCCAATCAATCAAATCCCATTAAGCTAGCCAGGCGAATTCACAATATAGCACATTCACGCATGTTATGTATTTCATTACCATTATAGAATATATAGGTGTACATCCACCATCATTGGACTATACTGTACATGCGTCACTAGGGAAATAACAGATTTCCGATTAAAATTGCGATCCCAAATCATGATAATATGCAGTCAAATCTCAATCAGCCCTATACTTTGTCGTGTTGTGTGTAATATTGTAACCTTCTGACCCCATGCCTCTACTGGACATCGGATTCCTCCTACAGTATAAATATTCTGATTCTTATCTCAGTCAACCCATGGCACCTGAAGCCTGTTCCGTGACCTCCTGCCAGCGGGCCTTCGACACTTGCCGTGACGGCCTCGGAGTGCACCCAGCCTGGCACAGGCGCCGTGGTGACGTCACCGTCACTTAGTGGTGAACGGCAGCTGCTGTTGTTGTGTTCTAACATGCTCCTTTAACATAGAACTTCGCGCAAACCCCTTCCCCACACTCCGTGCACACGTGCGGTCACTCGCCCATGTGCGTGACATCGCAACATAATCGCTATTATTGTTGGTTTTTAAAAATTCTGTAATTGTGGAATGCTTTGATGCCGACCGCCCAGCCGAGTCGCCCCCCCCTCCCCTTTATAAAGAGCTTCTTAGCTCTACGGGCTTTACTCGGTGGGAAATGAACTACCGTTTCCGACTCTGAAGGAATTATTTCCGACGATTAATAGAATAAGGAACGGCAGCCGAGGGCCAGAATGCGTCCGCGAGGACATCCGGCGGGGAGATGGAGGGATGGAATCAGAGCTGGGTTGACGATTTACATCGCCGGATCATTGGGGGATGGCCGCGGTGGCTCTGATGATGATGATGAAACAAATCCATGAACCCTTCTCCCGCTCCGAGACGTGGTGTCCACGTTCACCGCCGAATCTGGGTACGCGCGAGCGCCTCGGCGTTGTTATTTAGAGAGGCGTAGTGGTTTCAGCAGCGTTGTTGTTGTTGTTGTTGTTTTTATAAAGACGTCGTCGCTCACCGCAGAGAACCGTAGCGACACGACCGCCGCCACTCTACGATAGCCGACCCTCCCGCGTGGCCTTGTGGTGGGAGCCACGGTGCACCGATAAAGTTGCTTTGTTTTAGTTTTTCCTCCGGTTTCGTTTTCGATGATGTACACACGTACGTCATCGGGAACGGGAGAGGGTTAACGGAGACAAAAAATTTAAATGCAAATGTGTTTAAGTCCAGAGTTTTTACGGAACATCTGTTTTTAGAGAGAGATCCGGGAAGCCCTTCCCGTACACGTCTGGTACACCTAAAGGAGCTTCTCACCGGTATGCCATCGAAAGTTTTCTCCCAAAATGTAAACTTCGGTTAAACTTCTTCACCCGCGCTCCTCGCGGCAGCGTGCGGAACCTCACCGTGTTGCGTCCCCGGAGCGTTTCGCCGAGCCGAGCTGCCGTGTGCACACCTCGCCCCGCCGACGTGCGTTTTGGAGTGCGTCTCTAAGTTGTAGCGGGTCGTAAACCTCTTCCCACACTCCTTGCACATGTATGGCTTCTCGCCGGTGTGCGTCCTGTAATGCATGTTCAAGGTGAAACGCTGCGAGAAGCCTTTCCCGCACTCCTTGCACACGTGCGGCCTCTCGCCCGTGTGCGTTAGGGAGTGCGCCTCCAGGCTGGAACGCTGCGCGTAGGCCTTGCCGCACTCCTTGCACACGTGCGGCTTCTCGCCCGTGTGCGTCCTCGCGTGCATGTTCAAGGTGAACCGCTGCGAGAACCGCTTCCCGCACTCGGCGCACACGTGCGGCTTCTCGCCCGTGTGCGTGCGCGCGTGGTTCTTGAGCGTGGAGCAGTGGGAAAAACCCCGGCCGCACTCCCGGCACACGTACGGCCTCTCGCCCGTGTGTATCTTGGCGTGCACCTCCAGGTTGTAGCGCTGCGCGAACGCCTTGCCGCACTCGGCGCACGCGTGCGGCCTCTCGCCCGTGTGCGTCGCCGCGTGAGCCTCCAGGCTGGAGCGCTGCGCGAAGCCCCGGCCGCACTCGGCGCACGCGTGCGGCCACACGCCCGTGTGCGTCGCCGAGTGCGCCCGCAGGTTGGAGCGCTGCGCGAAGCCCCGGCCGCACTCGTCGCACACGTGCGGCTTCTCGCCCGTGTGCGTGCGCGCGTGCCTCTCCAGGAAGGAGCGGTGGGCGAAGCCCTTGCCGCACTCGGCGCAGGCGTGCGGCCACTCGCCCGTGTGCGTGCGCGCGTGCGTGAGCAGTTTGAAACGCGTCGCGAACGCCCTGCCGCACTCCTCGCACGCGTGCCTCCTCCGGTCGGCGTCGACGGCCGTGCCCCCCGGCGCTTTGCCGCGCCGCTTGGGAGCCGGCGGGGAGGCCTTGCCCCCGGCGGGTTCCGCTCCGTCCGTTCGCGCTCCCGAGCGGCCGTCCTCTCCGCACTCCCGGCACGCGAGTTCCGTCCCTTCCGCTCGATCTGCCGCAGAGAGCGCACCGGTGGTGAACACCTCGGCCCCCTTTGCCGTTTCTTCGATCAGGATCTGCTTAGAGCAGTGGTTCTTAACATTTACAGCAGCCTTGCACCCCTTTGGTTCTCAATCGTAAAAACAAAATTTGCAATCTTGACTTGAAGCTTTCGTGACTGCAGGAATCCATACTCTTTGGTTCTTTCGGTAAGGTCACGTAGTAGGTAGAAATTAAATAAAACAAATCACGACGTTTTGATAGCAACACAATCAAACAAATCACGACATTTCGATAGCAACACAAGCCTTTTGGCGTCCTCTGCTCTAACACCGTTTGAGACTCAGCTCGAAAGAAAGCTGTCTCTGGTGTGGATCAATCAGTTTCAAGGACAATGCATCATACTATCAGATAATGTTTTTTATTTGCATTCTGACCACAAGTATTGTGGTTAATGCAGACGCGATTCCTTGTAAAAGGTTTCAGTTTGGTGTTTTAAACATCTTAACACAGCTGTTCTGTTGCCAGAAAAAAGGGGAAAACCCTATTCTCATAACAAAAATAGTTTTAAAATAGTTAGTGATGTGATTTTCTCTGTGATGTCGTCAAAGTGGGGGGGAGTGGGGGTGGGGGCGGGGAGGTGGGGGGGGGGATACTGACCTTCACAAATATCCTCCTCTGATAACTTCACCTCGATGAAGTTCTGGTCTCCGGTGTCCAACAAACGTCCGTGGGGTCCCCCTCCGTCTCCTCGCCATGCACCGGCCTCTTCGTTGTCGACGGTCAACGGATAGAGCGCTGCAGTTTCATACAAAAGCACGCAGATTTATTCAATTTTTTGTATTTGTCTTTTGCATACTTGGGGAGGTTCTTAATAAGGTCCGAGGCAGTTGCAAAAGGTTCAGGCCCTTGGCCGTTTCTCGTGGCACTTGGAATGATTGGCATCGGTGCAGTCGAGCCCATTTTTTTCGAGCCTTGCGCGATGGAACGTGACGGATCAATAAATTATTATTCGCGCACAGCGGTGGCATAAAAAATGTAAAAATGTAAAGCGCCGTTTGATAGGCAAATTCAGCGGCGCTAATGCGTTTTCAAGACATCTATTTTCAATCGACGGGCTTGCTTTCTGCACACTTTGTCTTCAGTATTGATGTGTAGACTGTAGAGGCACTACGCGAACTAGCGGTCACGAGTGGTAATTACAGGTGTAGAGACAGTATAGAGGGCTAGCGGTCACAAGTGGTAATAACAGGCGAGGTAACAGAGAATAGGAACGATCTGGGATCTTCGGGAAGGTTCAAGAACTTGCGAGAGAGTTCGAAAAGTAGGGACGTGGCCAGGGGTGGAGGGATGGCCACGCCGGGGATATAAAAAGGGGCGAGGAGCCAGGTTCGGGGCTGCTGTGGGAGTCGGGGTCGTCGCTGTCCGGGGAACGTGTCTTCAAGTCGTCGCTATCTTCGATGTCGTCGCTGTGAAGTGATCGTGTCTTCGATAAAGAAAACCCTCGCAATTCCGTGTCTCCGAGAGTCATTAGAGATGCACAAACACCTGTTGTATAATGACGGCTGACGTTGATGTAGGGCAGCGACCATAATTTTACATTGAAGTGGTTGAGCCACATGACTGCATCGTCGCTCCGAATTGTAATCGTGGTGCCATAGTGCGGCCTTGTCATCTGTGGCAAAAGAGCTTTAGAGCTCATCGGATTCTTCCAGTTAACGTACGTTGTGTTTGTATGTGTGTATGCCGAACTTCTTTCGCACCACCCTACATAGCCAAAGAAGTGAATTTTCAATTTAGTATAGTGGTGTAGTGCATAGTAGTGTAATGTTTAGCTGAGTGTATAGTGTAGTATGTAGTGGAAAGTGGTGTGTACGGTGAGGGAAAAAAGTATTTGATCTCCTGCTGATTTTGTACGTTTGCCCACTGACAAAGAAATGATCAGTATATAATTTTAATGGTAGGTTTATTTGAACAGTGAGAGACAGAATAACAACAGCAAAAAATCCAGAAAAACGCATGTCAAAAATGTTATGAATTGATTTGCATTTTAATGAGGGAAATAAGTATTTGACCCCTCTGCAAAACATGAGTTAGTACTTGGTGGCAAAACCCTTGTTGGCAATCACAGAGGTCAGACATTTCTTGTAGTTGGCCACCAGGTTTGCACACATCTCAGGAGGGATTTTGTCCCACTCCTCTTTGCAGATCTTCACGTCATTAAGGTTTCCAGGCTGACGTTTGGCAACTCGAACCTTCAGCTCCCTCCACAGATTTTCTATGGGATTAAGGTCTGGAGACTGGCTAGGCTACTCCAGGACCTTAATGTGCTTCTTCTTGAGGCACTCCTTTGTTGCCTTGGCCGTGTGTTTTGGGTCATTGTCATGCTGGAATACCCATCCACGACCCATTTTCAATGCCCTGGCTGAGGGAAGGAGGTTCTCACCCAAGATTTGACGGTACATGGCCCCGTCCATCGTCCCTTTGATCCGGTGAAGTTGTCCTGTCCCCTTAGCAGAAAAACATCCCCAAAGCATAATGTTTCCACCTCCATGTTTGACGGTGGGGATGGTGTTCTCGGGGTCATAGGCAGCATTCCTCCTCCTCCAAACACGGCGAGTTGAGTTGATGCCAAAGAGCTCCATTTTGGTCACATCTGACCACAACACTTTCACCCAGTTGTCCTCTGAATCATTCAGATGTTCATTGGCAAACTTCAGACGGGCATGTATATGTGCTTTCTTGAGCAGGGGGACCTTGCGGGCGCTGCAGGATTTCAGTCCTTCACGGCATAGTGTGTTACCAATTGTTTTCTTGGTGACTATGGTCCCAGCTGTCTTGAGATCATTGACAAGATCCTCCCGTGTAGTTCTGGGCTGATTCCTCACCGTTCTCATGATCATTGCAACTCCACGAGGTGAGATCTTGCATGGAGCCCCAGGCCGAGGGAGATTGACAATTCTTTTGTGTTTCTTCCATTTGCGAATAATCACACCAACTGTTGTCACCTTTTGATTTAAAGCTTTCATGACTGCAGTAATTCATATTCTTAGTTTTTCGGTAAAGTCACCTTGAAGAGAAACAACAAAATAACAAAATATATATAAAACAATAAAAAATGCTCACGACGTTTCGACCATAACTCAAACGGTCATCTTCAGGTGTGTTGGTTTGCATAAATTTATTTTTAAACGGCGCATTTATTTAATTATAAAAAACGTTGGCGTCACGCGCAGCGATTTGGCAGTTTGCCCAGGACTAGTCCATCTCTTTTTAAAAGTCCATCTCTTTTTTAAAAAAAATAGATGGACTAGTCCTGGGCAAACTGCCAAATCGCTGCGCGTGACGCCAACGTTTTTTATAATTAAATAAATGCGCCGTTTAAAAATAAATTTATGCAAACCAACACACCTGAAGATGACCGTTTGAGTTATGGTCGAAACGTCGTGAGAATTTTTTATTGTTTTATATATATTTTGTTATTTTGTTGTTTCTCTTCAACGTGACTTTACCGAAAAAACTAAGAATATGTTGTCACCTTCTCACCAAGCTGCTTGGCAATGGTCTTGTAGCCCATTCCAGCCTTGTGTAGGTCTACAATCTTGTCCCTGACATCCTTGGAGAGCTCTTTGGTCTTGGCCATGGTGGAGAGTTTGGAATCTGATTGATTGATTGCTTCTGTGGACAGGTGTCTTTTATACAGGTAACAAGCTGAGATTAGGAGCACTCCCTTTAAGAGTGTGGTCCTAATCTCAGCTCGTTACCTGTATAAAAGACACCTGGGAGCCCGAAATCTTTCTGATTGAGAGGGGGTCAAATACTTATTTCCCTCATTGAAATGCAAATCAATTTATTACATTTTGACATGCGTTTTTCTGGATTTTTTTGTTGTTATTCTGTCTCTCACTGTTCAAATAAACCTACCATTAAAATTATAGACTGATCATTTCTTTGTCAGTGGGCAAACGTACAAAATCAGCAGGGGATCAAATACTTTTTTCCTTCACTGTATATTAGTGCAGTGTATAGTGTAGTGTATCGTAGTGTATTGTAGTGTCGTGTATAGTAGTGCAGTGTATAGTGTGGGATGTAGTGCATAGTGGTGTAGTGTAGTATTTATTGTAGTGTATTGTGTGTCGAACTTCTTTCGCACCACCGTACATAGCCAACCTATTAATCGGAGGTATATGGGGGGTGGGGGGGGGAAGGACGACAAACTGAACACAACAACAATCAGTGCTAAAGAAATGAGATTTGGGACGTTACACGTTTCATGGTCTCTGTTCTGAGCGACCACAGTATCCGCACACAGCTGGAGAGTTTTGAATGGAGGGGTTGTGCCCCTAAGATTTTTGTTAGCGGGCGCCACGGTGGCTAGGAGATGTTAACTACCTCGCATGGTATGCAGGAGGTCGCGGGTTCGAACACGACCCTGACGCCTGTTGTACATTTGGAGTTTGCGTGTCTATTTCTCTCTCTCTCCGTTGGTCGCGTGGATATTTCTCCGGGTTCTTCGGTTTTTCCATCCACATCACGTGTTTATGGTATTTGGCTGCATTAACCACACGGACTTGTGGTGAACATGCAAACAAAAAACATGCTCTGATAATGATTCTGTTTGGTCTTTTAACATCTTGACACCTGTTTTATTGCCAGAAAGAGTAACACCTATTGTTATATTTTAATACTGGCAAGAAAGGTCCCCATCATCTGCATGCGGTTTATCCGATTTGGCGGATTAACAGCACACCGGAGATTGACATAAATTACTATCGCGTGGATTTTTCCTTAAGCCCAAATTAATAATCTAAAAACAGCTATACGTTGTTATTCTCAAAAATCTTAAAAACAAGTCACGTGCTTCAACCGAACAAATATGTTGCTCTGGTTAATCCAAAATCCACGTGATCGCCTCTACAGTACAGTAGTTGCCATATCTTTACAACAGTGGGCGGAGTTTTATTGATTTTACAGTAGTTGCCATATCTTTACAACAGTGGACGGAGTTTTATTGATTTTGATTGGCGTGGCTCTGCTGTTGTCCACTTAGTGGGCGGAGTCTTCTGCGCGGGAGCAGGAAAGTGATCTTATCACTAAGCAGGCACATTGGTCGATCGTCGTTAGTATTCGTTCTGAATCTAAAGAGTAACAATCATCGAGTAATTTGTCCAATCATTCATTTTGTGAGTTTTAATTTTACGGAAACTGTGTGACGGCAGAGATACTTAAAACATAATTTATACCGACTTGAGTAGGAAATTCTTAAAATTTTGGACCATCCACGATGTTCTAGATTTGAAGTTTTCATGACTGCAAGGAATATTATTTATTTATCACCGGCATTGCTTTACCAAAAAAACAAAGAGTACCATCCGCGATGGTCCAAAATTACCCACGGCCGTCCTGCCCGTCATTAGCGGCAGATAATCGAGAGTCCTCACTGCAGTTGGCGATGTGATCAAAGTGGCCTCACCTTCGCCAATATTCTCCTCCGACAACTCCACCTTGATGAAGTTCTGGTCTGCGGTGGCCACATATCCGTAGGGACTCCCCGTCTCCTCTGAACCCTCATGGGCTTCAACTTTAACAATCTTCAGCTCTGGAGCTGTCAAGGAGAAGAAGAAACATGGTCTTTGATGGACGGGAGGTCTAGTACATAAAACTAAACAATTTTTGGTTCGACACGGAGGGCTTTCGCGACCAATATTATCAGTAATAAAGGTTTATTTTCGTTTGTTTTGGGGTAGAGCGCGTTAACGTAAACCCACCCACCACCACCCGACACACAGCCAGCTAGTGAGGTTTGTCACCTAAACAAAACGTGCCAATTAGTTACTACGTCACCCCACCGGTTGTGTTGGAGAGTACATCCATAACATTTACAATTGGAGTACCATCATGTTTCGAAGTACAGTAGAGCCCCTCTTAACGACAACCCCTGCTAACGACTAATCGCTTACCGACGGGCCTCCATAGAGCCCGATGTGTAGTGTATAGTGTAGTGTATAGTAGTGTAGTGTATAGTAGTGTAATGTAGTGAGTTCAACTGAGTCGCAGACGTAGACTTGGAGGCAACACATTTATTTAACTCCAACACACGGGGTAACTTTCCCCTTAACAGAATAACAACCTGTGGTGGTGACCACCAGGCTAACTACACTAGTTACAACGTAACTGCTACTACGGACCGGGACCAACAGCTTGGGTCCAGGTCCACGTGTTGGACTCGTTGAACGGAGAACGTAGACGAAGGTTTCTTCCAAGATGAACAACAACAACCCCGGTACCTCTCGGAACCCGGCTTATATTCCCTGCGGCGTGGTCGGCTCCGCCCTTGGCCACGACCACTTTCTAGAACCCTCGGGAAGGATCTGGGTCCCAACCACGTGACCACCCCTCGCCCCTACTTGGGGGGCCCTTTGTAGACTTAATTGGTCACGTGTCCTCAACCAGAGTGCCATGGCCTCGAGTAACCTCATCCCTCGGCCGGCACCCACACACCCTGTCCTGTAGTGTTGGCACTGCACGCAAAGCGTGGTGCCATCCAGCGCTATCAATCAGCGCTCACCGGACCCCTCTAAGGCCGGCATTACGCCCACACCCTTGTGGTATCCGCGATGTCGTTACACCGCACTCCGTGCCTCTCTAGGGCCGGCACTGCACATTGACATCCCGCGATGTCACTACAGGAGTGTCATGTATGGTATAGTAGTGCAGTGTGTAGTAGTGTACAGTGTAATGTATAGTAGTGTATAGTGTAGTGGAGAGTAGTGCGATGTATAGTCGTGTACAGTAGTGTAGTGCTTCCATAGAGCCCAATGTGTTCGCTTACCGACCATTCTAACGACGGGTTGATAGTAAAAATTCTCACGACGTTTCGACCATAACACAAACGGTCATCATCAGGTGTGATGAATTTTTATTGTTTGAAAAATATATTATTATTTTGTTTCGCTTCAACGTGACTTTACCGAAAGAGCTAAGAATATGGGCTGATAGTAGTTACTGTAAATATTAATGCATCAATTAACCGCGTTTCTTTTAATATTACGTGTTTATAATCTTGTTAGCATCTTTCTGCATTAATATCCATTGTTTACATATTATAAAGTACGTTTTTTTGGGTGAAAAAGGGGCAACTTTCCATGCTATCGGAACAAATTAAGCCTTGAACCGTGTATTTCCGATACTCGCTTTACGACAAAATCGCTTAACGACCGGTTTCGTGGAACCAATTACCGTCGCTAAGAGGATGGGTTCTACTGTCATTGAATCCAGCATCGATGGGCAATGTTACCAGAGACGTTATTTTACCAGGCAAGGCTTCACGGAGCTACTGTGTGGCCTGTTTAGAGAAGCGATGTGGCAATCGCAAATGATGGCTCAACGCAGTGCCAGATTATTGGAGTAGACAAAGTAGCTACATATTGCTACGGGCCCCCGCACTTTCAAAGTCCCCGCGCTAAATGCTTTCGAGCTATCAAATTCCGGTTCAGTGATTCTGCACTTGCTCTATTACTATAGTACTATACCGCCTTCAACTTTTACGAACGACTGGGTGTTTAAGGTTAGCGATTTGTCGTATTATCTGGCTGTATAGCAAATGAAAAAATACAATTACTTTACAAAGCAACCAAAAATGTGTGTTTTAATATTTACGTGTTTTTTTATTTTATTTAGGGACCCTTTATAACGTACGCTACAGGCCCCGCACGAGTTTCATCCGGCACTGGCTCAACGAAGCGGCTCCTCATCATCGCCGTGTGGGAATTTAAAGCAGCAGCCAAATACCCTGAACGCGTGAGACGTTGATTCTAAACGTGGGGGGAAAAACCGGAGGACCCAGAGAAAAATCCACGCGACCACGGTGACAGAGAGAGACACGCAGACTCCAAATATGCAGCAGGCGTCAGGGTCGGAATCGAACCCACGGCCTTCTGCATACCAGGCAAGGTACGTAGCCTGGTATTCAGCTACCGAGGAGTGGCGGCGGTCATGTTGCTAGGGTTCTCTGCGGTGAGTAACGACGTCTTTATAAAAACAACGGAGCTGCTGCAACTAAGCCGCTGAGCTGCTCGTGCACTGCTCCGAAATTCGGCGGTGAACGGGCCACCACCCACCCACCCACCACCCTGCTACTTGCCAGACATCATCGGAACGAGGAAAGGCCTTCGAAGATACGTTGGAACATCCAGCACAAACTCCTCACTGTCTCACTCTACCTATCTGTAGAGCAATGGGTCTTACCAGATCCCTTCAGTGCGGTTTGAGGCACGCTTCTCAGCGTTCCGTCATCCAGGCTCCCGTCATCTTCTTGCTTCACAGCTACTCCTGCACAAGCGCACAAAAAATATATAAACTATTTTTTATTTACTTTCCCAGCTAAGGCCCCACTGAACTATGTAGCTCTTCTGTCAGAAGCGACCTGGCGGCTAGCACAATCGATAAGCTCAACGAAGTGGGCGGATCGTCACCATGTGGAATTCTATAGCAATGCGTGACGTCAATTCTAAACGTGAAGCGAAAAACTGGAGGATCCGGAGAAAAATCCACACCACTTTGGGCAGAGAAAGAGGCACGCAAACTCCAAATATACAGCAGGCATCAGGATAGGGCTCGAACCCACGACCTCCTCCATACCAGGCGAGGCGGATAACATCTCGCTACTTAATGAGCGATTACATGTGAGAGTAAACCGGAGCACCCGGAGAAATCGCACGCGTGCGAGGGTGCAACACTCTATCCCCGTACATACGGGACAGGTGGGGTTCACATTCATGCTGTACCGCCTTCTACCTGGCAGAGCCAGGGGTTACGGCTCCTCCTTATTGCCCACCCATGGGAAGGGAGTTTCACAACCCTTCTGTGAGGTGACCAACCAACCTCCTCACTGCTGCTTCCTCCACCAGTGCTGGATTGTAGGCCGCATCCGCCACCACTGCCTGGCTAAATTGGAAACCCAGCCTTAATGCTTTATTAACCCATGGATGCAGCTGTGTTCAAGGGACCTGACATTGCGTCTTTGATTATATATGTGTGACAGGTTCTTTTGCACCGTACATAGCCAACCGTGCCAATCGGAGGTGCGGGGGGGGGAAGGACAACTAAACACAACAACAAGCAGTTCTAAAGAAATGAGTGTGTCAAGCTAGACGACGATTTTGAAGTGCATTTCCCCGGTGGCTTCCTAATATCGGAAGGAAGAGCGTTCCAGACGGCCCACAGAAGCGCATCCGAAAGCGCCGCGCGATGCGGTGACCGTCTTTGTTCGATGGCTGGCCAAAAGCCGCTGGTGGGAGGATGATGACCATCGGAGTTGGCGTGATGATGGCTTACACCCCTTGACGAGGTAGGCGAGGTATTGTGGTTAATATTCACGGCGAGCATTTTGTGCCCATGTTGAATCGGCGCGACTTAAAAACGCGCTCGCTCGGCAACCGTAAGCAAATGCAACTCGGCGAGCACCGGGCAGACACGGTCGGACCTTGCGGCACCCGTCACGCAGCTTGCTAATGCTCTTGCACGACCACATACGAAATAATTTATTAAAATAAGGAATAAAAGTCCTCTTTAGACTAAACGAATACCACGGTAAAACCTTGGATTGCGAGTAACTTGGTCTGCGAGTGTTTTGCAAGACAAGCAAAATTTTTAAATAAATATTAACTTGATAAACGAGCTAGGGTCTTGCAATACGAGTAGTGTAACGTGTAGACCCTCTGTCTGCCGAGCGTCACGTGTGCTTTGGATTACAAACACGTTTCCGGAACGAATTATGCTCCTCGCAATCCTAGGTTTTACTGTACATCACTGCTTGCACTGGTTTTCTTTTTTCAGATCAGGCTGCGTCCCGAGGGTCGAGTGGTTTGTTGTCGAGCATCAAAGGACGCTCCAACAATGATTTGAACAATTTAATGACAGCTGCCGTTGTAACTTACCAGCATGAGAGTCTTCATCTTTCACCGTCAATACAGGACCCATCCCTGGGTACGGATTGTCTTCATTTTCTTGTTTGATGAACGGCAATTCAAAGTTTGAAGCCATCTGATGAGCAAAATTGAATACAATGTCTCATTATTATTATTATCACCGTATTACTGTGAGCGTACAAAGTCACTCCACGTAGGTTATTGTCGAAGTTTGCACTACAATTTCTCATATGTGGTACGTAGTGTATGTATCAGGGACGTGCGGTCAGGGGAGGCAGTGGAGGCAGAGGCTCACCTGTCATACTCCAATGAAAATAGCTGTTACGAAAAGTAAAAAAAGTAATGAAATCAAAATTAAGATTTTTTTCACTGATCTGTGTTATAAATGTAATTTCTGTATGATTCCAATCATTTTCATACAGAGAGATAGTAACAGGCACGCGCTTATTGCCCGCGCTCCATCCAGTTTCTGAGGGGTCGCGCAATCAGAAGGGGGGCTGAGCCCGTCACTGCGTCTCCTCTCGTCTCTCCCTGTATTTGCAGCGGAGCTCCGCAAATTTGGCGATCTTGACTTTGAAAATGATTCGAATCGTACAGAAATTATATAACACAAATCAGTGGAAAAATATAACATTTTATTTGATTATTTTTTACTTTTCGTAACAGCTATTTCCATTGGAGTATGACAGGTGAGGCTCTGCCTCCCCTGCCTCCCCTGACCGCACGTCCCTGGTGTGTATGCTGAACGTCTTTTGCACCGTATCTATCCAACCGTGCTAATCGGAGGTGCGGGGGAAGGACAACAAACTAAACACAAAAAGCACTTCGAAAGAAATGAGCTTGAAAAACGTGGACCCCTTTAAAAGAACACCTGTGGCAGTTTGAGACATTCAGGCTGGCCTGCCTACGATCCATTCTGGCTTGAGCCTGCAGACTAGATCATGGTGCGAGGAGCCCGCAGACCCTTGGGGTATCTCTGGAGGCAGTCCCCATCATCGGCGAGGTCCTCCGGCAAACCGTGTAGCCCGCATGCCAAGCCACCGCACGCGCGCAAACGTACACAGAGAAGGGAGGGGCATGACTGTGGCCGTGAATCCCCCCAGAACTTCGTATGGAGCGACAGGCCAGGAAAGCCTCAAGGCAGGCAAGCGCTACCGCAGCCGATTTAAAAGATAACGCCGCCGAAGCCAGAGCCGGTCATCAGCGCGCTTGGCTCAGGTACGCACATTTCTCCACTCTCTCCACAACTTGCTCCATCGCTCGTGGGGAGTGGAACCAGTGGGGGGGGGGGGGGGGGGGGGAGCCTGGAGTGTTTGATGACTTTAAATAAAACAACCAGGCAGGTGCTTTGTTTACGGTGGCACTATCCAGGTTCAGCAACAGCAGAGCCTCCCAACTCCTTCTCAGAGCGGGCAGCAATTACAAAGGTCATCGGCGATACACAACATGGTTGATCAATACGGGAGCCGTCCCTTGGACCGCACAACGGCAGTGTATAAAGATCCCCCCCCCCCCGTATAGCCTGTTGGGGCAAGTGCTATTAGCGAGCACCTATTAAGGCCGGCACGGCACACGAGCGGGTGGGTGGCCAACACGACGCCCGGCCGCCTTTTTTACGCACCGCTACACCAGGTACTCAATTAAGGCTGAGTCGACCTAGGGGAGGCCCAGGACCGGTTCAGATAATCGTCACTGATGTTGGTGGGCGTGAGCTGAAATGGAACCCTGGGTAGCCGGGTTCCTAGTGCAGCGCGCTAACCATTGCGCCACCACTCCCCGTGCTCATACCACAAAGATAATGATCCCCCGCATAGCCTTTAACAGTCTGTAGGGGTAAGTGCTGTTGGCGAGTAGCAGCAGCGCTGTATGGCGTGGTGCTGGCCGACCCACCCCTTCGTGTGCCGGGCTTTATAGGCGCTGAAATACACCAACACCAATACACCGCCATTCGCCACTTCACCACGGTGCCTGTGCCAGGCTAGGTGCACTTTGAGGCGTTGAAAGCTCCCGCTGCTAGCAAGGAGGGTAGGAGACAGACCCAGCAGGTGCCATGGGGTGACTGCTGTGCCAGGCTAGGTACAGCAGGTCACTGGACAGACCCTGCAGGTGCCATGGGTTGACTGCTGTGCCAGGCTAGGTACAGCAGGTTACTGGACAGACCCAGCAGGTGCCATGGGTTGACTGCTGTGCCAGGCTAGGTACAGCAGGTCACGGGGACAGACCCAGCAGGTGCCATGGGTTGACTGCTGTGCCAGGCTAGGTACAGCAGGTTACTGGACAGACCCAGCAGGTGCCATGGGTTGACTGCTGTGCCAGGCTAGGTACAGCAGGTGGTCACTGGACAGACTCAGCAGGTGCCATGGGTTGACTGCTGTGCCAGGCTAGGTACAGCAGGAGGTCACTGGACAGATTCAGCAGGTGCCATGGGTTGACTGCTGTGCCAGGCTAGGTACAGCAGGTTACTGGACAGACCCAGCAGGTGCCATGGGTTGACTGCTGTACCAGGCTAGGTACAGCAGGAGGTCACGGGGACTGCTGTGCCAGGCTAGGTACAGCAGGTCACGGGGACAGACCCAGCAGGTGCCATGGGTTGACTGCTGTGCCAGGCTAGGTACAGCAGGAGGTCACGGGGACTGCTGTGCCAGGCTAGGTACAGCAGGTTACTGGACAGACCCAGCAGGTGCCATGGGTTGACTGCTGTGCCAGGCTAGGTACAGCAGGAGGTCACGGGGCAGACCCACCAGGTGCCATGGGTTGACTGCTGTGCCAGGCTAGGTACAGCAGGTTACTGGACAGACCCAGCAGGTGCCATGGGTTGACTGCTGTGCCAGGCTAGGTACAGCAGGTTACTGGACAGACCCAGCAGGTGCCATGGGTTGACTGCTGTGCCAGGCTAGGTACAGCAGGAGGTCACTGGACAGATTCAGCAGGTGCCATGGGTTGACTGCTGTGCCAGGCTAGGTACAGCAGATTACTCGACAGACCCAGCAGGTGCCATGGGTTGACTGCTGTGCCAGGCTAGGTACAGCAGGTTACTGGACAGACCCAGCAGGTGCCATGGGTTGACTGCTGTGCCAGGCTAGGTACAGCAGGTTACTGGACAGACCCAGCAGGTGCCATGGGTTGACTGCTGTGCCAGGCTAGGTACAGCAGGTCACTGGACAGACCCAGCAGGTGCCATGGGTTGACTGCTGTGCCAGGCTAGGTACAGCAGATTACTCGACAGACCCAGCAGGTGCCATGGGTTGACTGCTGTGCCAGGCTAGGTACAGCAGGTTACTGGACAAACCCAGCAGGTGCCATGGGTTGACTGCTGTGCCAGGCTAGGTACAGCAGGAGGTCAGGGGACAGACCCAGCAGGTGCCATGGGTTGACTGCTGTGCCAGGCTAGGTACAGGTTACTGGACAGACCCAGCAGGTGCCATGGGTTGACTGCTGTGCCAGGCTAGGTACAGCAGGAGGTCACGGGGACAGACCCAGCAGGTGCCATGGGGTTGACCGACTAAACGGACCAGCCGTGCCATCTCGCAGCACGATTTGCCCCACCCAGCGGATTACTAACAAACCCGTGACAGTCAGAACGAACATGCAACAGTAACAACAACAACCGACCAGCAGTGGATAAATCAATCACCCCCCCCACCCCCCTCTGTTTACCGGTTGCGTAAACGCCACCCGCTCCACCCTTCCCGGACGCGTCAATGCGACCTCTCGCCAGCCGGGGAGGTGACGGGGAGCGAAGAGGTACCGCGGACAGCGACTCGATGCGGCGCAAGACGACGACCCTGGGCACCGAGAGATTGTCTCAGTTTCATTTCAGTTTCATGTAACAGGTCCCTGCAGGGTGGGCTGGTAGGACAAGTCTCTGCGCGGTCTATTGCTGATTTTACACCCCAACAGCACGAGATTTCACTTCGTTAAAGTATTGAAAGGGGACGGACGGACACATTAATCTATTGCAGGCTGGTACACTCAGTTCACAACTTCGTTCCTACCAGTATTAGGGTACGAGCTGTACTACCCGGCTTCGCCCGGGACTTGGATCCACCACGCGCGCCCGCATTTGTCTCCCCAGTGGCGATGTTCACACACCGCACCAGTTACTCGTTTGATGCTGAGTCGACCTAGGATGAGGCCCGGGAGCGGTAAAAAAAATAATCGTCACCGGTTGGTGGCCGTGAGCGGCGGGAATCGAACTCGGGTCGGCGGGTTCGTAGCGCAGCGTGGCGCGCTAACCACTACACTACAATGCGTTACGCTTCCACACAGATACACACACACAGACACACACACATACACACACAGACACATACACAGCGCGCTAACCACTACACTACAATGCGTTACGCTTCCACGAAGATACACACACAGACACATACACAGCGCGCTAACCACTACACTACAATGCGTTACGCTTCCACGTGCGCGGGACACGTGACAGATGTGACGTCACAGCTCACTTGCCGTGCAAAAAAATTAAATTCATTATTGAGCTCCCCCCCACCCAAAAAACACAAAAGTGTATTTTTATAATGTTTGCATGGTGTACAGACTGGAAAGTACCCACATGGCAAATTCCAAGTTTGTTGCATGTCGGTAAGTACGCTAAACATTTTGAACAGACACACAATCACAACTTTTATATATATGGAGATGTATGGAGATAGCCCCTGTGAGCATCATGCGGCTCTCGACTCGGGCGCAACCGCAACAAACAAAAGCATGAACGAAGAAAACATCTTAAAGTGACTACTACACGCAAACAGAAACATCCAGGAAAAAACGAAACACAGCAAAAGTCTTCCGGAAAAAAAAAAAACAGTACCGCGTATCAACGCTGCGTGCAAAAAAATCCCAGGTGGGATGCGAGTCGAAAAATAACAACCATAAGACAATTTAGATAACGTTATCAGGCTAACTCCTCGTACTTCAACAAACAAGCATGGCTTCAACCATACGTTTTCGAAATCACCAAAATAAAGCTATACAAACAATGATCACAGAAACTGTTGATTCAAATGTAACAATAAACAATATACGTAACATGTACCACCAAATTTCGATTTAAAGCTTTCGTGGCTGCAATGATTCATCTTCTTTGGTTCTTTCGGTAAAGTCACCACGTAGAATGAGAATAAAATAATAAATTTATAAAATAAAATAACACAATAATATTCTCACGACGTTTCTTCTCACACAGCTTAAAGTTCGCGATCTGAGCGTGGCTTTTTCACTCCAGCGCTGTCCTCCAGACAGTCTCGTCCCTTCACCTGATGAAGGCCGCTTGTGTTGTGGCCGAGACGTCGTGAGAATATTATTGTGTTATTTTATTTTATCAATGTATTATTTTATTCTCATTCTACGTGGTGACTTTACCGAAAGAACCAAAGAAGATGAAACCACCAAACTTTTGGAGCCACAGCTGGGTGAGTGGAACGGTACTCGGGATCCTGGTATTTTGGTACTGCAGCAGGAAGAAGTCCAATACCGTACCTGCTGTGCGTGACTGTCAATACCTTATCAGTTGCCCTACCTTATTACGGATCAATTAAGACGTTATTGATCACCCCGTGCCCCTTATAAACCTCAACGTTCATCCTACAAAGTTCCCATCACGAGGGAGAAACACAATTAGATAACCACCACTAGTACACTCACCACTAGTACACTCACCACTAGTACACTCACCACGAGTACACTCACCACTAGTACACTCACCACTACACTCACCACTAGTACACTCACCACTACTACACTCACCACTAGTACAATCACCACTACACTCACCACTACACTCACCACTAGTACACTCACCACTAGTACACTCACCACTACACTCACCACTAGTACACTCACCACTACTACACTCACCACTAGTACACTCAACACTACTACACTCACCACTAGTACACTCACCACTACTACACTCACCACTAGTACATTCACCACTACACTCACCACTACACTCACCACTAGTACACTCACCACTAGTACACTCACCACTACTACATTCACCACTATACTCACCACTACACTCACCACTAGTACACTCACCGCAACTAAACTCACCACTAGTACACTCACCACTAGTACACTCACCACTACACTCACCACTAGTACACTCACCACTAGTACACTCACCACAACTAAACTCACCACTAGTACACTCACCACTACACTCACCACTAGTACATTCACCACTACACTCACCACCACTAAACTGACCACTAGTACATTCACCACTACACTCACCACTACACTCACCACTAGTACACTCACCACTAGTACACTCACCACAACTAAACTCACCACTAGTACACTCACCACTACATTTACCACTAGTACACTCACCACTAGTACATTCACCACTACACTCACCACCATTAAACTCACCACTAGTACACTCACCACTACACTCACCACTACACTCACCACTAGTACACTCACCACTAGTACTCACCACTAGTACACTCACCACTACACTCACCACTAGTACACTCACCACTAGTACACTCACCACCACTAAAGTCACCACTAGTACACTCACCACTACACTCACCACTAGTACACTCACCACTAGTACACTCACCACGCCTACCTTATTAGAAACCAATTCAGATCTTATTGGTCACCCCGTGCCCCTTATAAACCTCAACGTTTATCCTACAAAGTCCCCATCACGAGGAGACAAACACAAACAGACGAATGTTTTGTTTGTGTGCCCGTATTGAAACGGCTGTACGCCGTATGGGCCTGAAAACTAAATTTCCCTGCACAATAATACGGGGTAAACCGTACGTGTTGACACGGTATGCGGCAACCACCACCAACAACAACAAACAATAGCGGTGACGATTGTCTGAATCGGCCCTCTGTGCTTAGCTAGTCCAACTCAGCCTCAAACGAGATGCTGTGGCACCGACTTACGAACGAGACGCCGTGCCCGTCACCGACTTACGAACGAGACGCCGTGCCCGTCACCGACTTACGAACGAGATGCCGTGCCCGTCACCGACTTACGAATGAGACGCCGTGCCCGTCACCGACTTAACGAACGAGATGCCTGCCCGTCCCCGACTTACGAACGAGATGCCTATTCGTCCCCGACTTACGAACGAGATGCCTGCCTGGCACCGACTTACGAACGAGACGCCGTGCCCGTCACCGACTTACGAACGAGACGCCTGCCCGTCCCCGACTTACGAACGAGATCCTGCCCGTCCCCGACTTACGAACGAGATGCCGTGCCAGCCCCCCGACTTACGAACACGCTTCACTTACGCCCGCACTTACGAACCGCCCCTCAGCTGCTATTGTTGTGACAGATGATTTGACGACCCTTTAGCTGGACGTATCGCCCGCGTGCGTGCGCCTGTGTCCTTACGCGCGCGCGTGCGTGCCAAAACGGAACCCGGCGGAGGAACTATTTCGTTCCGGCGGAGCGATTCCGCCGGAACCCACCACCAACACCAACACCTCCACCCCCCTCCTGCTCCTCCTCCCGCTCCACTCTTCCTCCCACCGAGAACGCGCGTGGGCCGCTTCTCCCTCTCTCTCTCTCCACCCTCCCGAGCCCCATCACCGACACCGCCGCCGCCAACCCCACGACTTCTGCCGCGCAGAGTGAAGAGCCGAGGCGGCCGAGGCGGCGGCGGTGGTGGCGGTGGAGGCGACGTTCACCGCTCGCCCTCACCGCTCGGCTCCACAACAACAACAAACACAAGTCGCCTCTCACGCCGCCGCCGCTGTTCGTAACTTGGTTTGTTTTAGGGGAGGAGGAGAGGGGAGGAGGAGAGGGGGGGAGGTTTGAACGTCATCCTCACCAACACCACCCTCACCACCACCACCCTCATCACCACCACCACCACCCTCATCACCACCACCACCACCCTCACCACCACCCTCACCACCACCACCACCCTCACCACCACCACCCTCACCACCACCACCCTCACCACCCCCATCCTCACCACCCCCACCCTCACCACCACCCTCACCACCATCCTCACCACCACCCTCACCACCCCCTCACCACCACCACCCTCACCACCCCCCTCACCGCACCCTCACCACCCCCCTCACCACCACCCTCACCACTCCCTCACCACCATCCTCACCACCACCCTCACCTCACCCTCACCACCCCCTCACCCTCACCACACCCTCACCACCACCCTCACCACCCCCACCATCACCACCACCCCCTCACCACCACCCTCACCACCCCCTCACCCCCCTCACCACCCCCTCACCCTCACCTCACCCCCACAACCCTCTCGCCATGTCGGCCAAACGGAAGCTCGACAACCCGGCAAACGACGACCACAACAACGACCACAACAACAACAACGACATCATCCCAGCATTAGACGACAACAACGACAACATCGACGATGACCCCGCGGCGCCGCCACCGCCGCCGCCGCCTCCATCGAAGCGCCGCCGCCGGCGACCCCGCCACACCATCAGCATGAGGACGAAGGTCGCCATCATCCGCTGGTGGGAGGGCGGTGGCACGGCCGCGGGCATCGGCCGAGCGCTGGGCCTCAACCGCTCCACGATCTACACCATCATGAGGGACCGGGCGCGGATCGTCGAGCACGTGAGGGCCTCGGCGCCCGTCGAGTCGACGATCATCACCAAGAGGCGTAGCGGCGCTGGCGGCGTCGAGGAGATGGAGAAGCGACTCGTGGCGTGGCTGGAGGAGCAGAGATTCGGTGGTGGTGGTGGTAGTGATGGCGGTGGTGAAGGTGTTGGTGGTGTTGGTGGTGGTGATGGTGGAGCTGTCGTGGTGCCACTGAGCTTCAGGGCGATCCAGAGGAAGGCGAGAAGCCTCTTCGAGGAGTTGACCGCTGCTCGCCTCGTCCACGACGACATGGACGTCCACGACGTCGTGGACCGAGACGGAGGAGGCCGAGACGGCAGAGTGCCCCCGCCGTTCGTGGCGAGCCGCGGCTGGTTCGATCGCTTCAAGGCGCGGGCGAATCTGCAGAGCGTGAGGCTCTCCTGCGATGGTCGATGCTGCGGTGATGATGGTGGTGGTGATGATGGTGGTGGTGTTGTTGTTGGTGTTGAAGGCGGCTCGGGTGAATTCCCCGATCTGTTGGCGCACGTTGGTAGCATGCGAGGCGGCGGTGGTGTTGGTGGTCGTGGTGGTGGAGGTCGTGGTGGTGGAGGTGGTCGTGGTGGAGGTCGCTGTTGTTCTCAGCGCCTCACTCTCTACGCCATCGGCAAGCCGCCGGCGACGGCGAGGCTCGAGGTAAGACGACGGAGAGATGAAGGCAACTCTTGGCGCCGTTTTGACACCGACGTGTAAAGCAGCGCTTTCGCCACCAATGTCATCATCCATGGGTTTTGGAGGGTTAGGTCGCGCGTCATCTCTATATATATAAAAGTTGTGATTGTGTGTGTCTGTTCAAGATGTTTAGCGTACTTCCCGACATGCAACAAGCTTGAAATTTGCCATGTGGGTACTTTCCAGACTGTACACCATGCAAGAATTATAAAAAAAAATACACTTTGTGGTTTTTTAGGGGGGGAGCTCAATAATGCATTTATTTTTGTTGCACGGCACGTGAGCTGTGACGTCACATCTGTCACGTGACCCGCGCACGTGGAAGCGTAACGCATTGTAGTGTAGTGGTTAGCGCGCTGTGTATGTGTCTGTATGTCTGTGTGTGTGTGTATCTGTGTGGAAGTGTCACGCATTGTAGTGTAGTGGTTAGCGCCGCGCCGCGCTACGAACCCGGCGACCCGAGTTCGATTCCCGCTCACGGCCACCACCGGTGACGATTATTTTAACCGCTCCTGGGCCCTCCACTAAGTCGGCTCAGCCTCAAACGAGTAACTGGTGCGGTGTGTGTGAACATCGCCATTGGGGAGACAAAGGAGGCCGGGCGTGGTGAATCCAAGTCCCGGGCGAAGCCGGGTAGTAAAGCTAGTATTTATATAAATGTGTCGTCAAAGGCCGCCACCACACGACGCGGCCGACTAAGTGAGGGTTGTCACGTGAACAGAACGTGGCCAGTTCGTCACTAGTACAGCACAGGCTGTCTGTCGCCTGATGAAGCCGGTTGTGGTTACTGGCGAAACGTCGTACTCGGATTGTAAATGTCGTGGCTTGGCTCGCCAACACACCGTGCTGTACTAGTACACTCCACTATACACTACACTATACACTACACTATACACTGGTGCTGTACTATACTACACTATACACAACACTACTATACACTACACCATACACTACACTATACACTAGTGCTGTATTAGTTTACTACACTATACACTACACCATACACTACACTAGTGCTGTACTAGTGACGAATTGGCACGTTCTGTTTACGTGGCAACCCTTACTAGTTGGCTGTGTCGGGTGGTGGCGGGTTTAACGACACAACATTTATATATTTTGATTTAAAGCTTTCGTGACTGCAGTAATTCATATTCTTAGTTTTTTCGGTAAAGTCACGTTGAAGAGAAACAACAAAATAATAAAATATATATAAAACAATAAAAATTCTCACGACGTTTCGACCATAACTCAAACGGTCGTCTTCAGGTGTGTTGGTTCGCATAAATTTATTTTAAACGGCGCATTTATTTATTTATAAAAAAACGTTAGCGCCACGCGCAACGATTTGGCAGTTTACCCAGGACTAGTCCATCTATATTCTGAAAAGAGGAGGGGGGAGACGAAATTTTTTATAATGTATGCTGTCTGAAAGCCACTGTAAGCGTGAACAATCAATTAAGACCTGAAATGGTTTATCAAATCTTTCCAATGATGGTGCTGTTTGTATTGTGGGGCGTACAATGAAGACAAAGATTCTGGACTAACCCCCACAGTGTAGCCTGGAACAGACGCACCACCAAATAGGCACCTTTTTCCAGGAATCTGCTCACCCCGAGCTATGTGAATACCCTGATACGTGCATTGCCCTTGTACTGTGTTCACCTTAGGGCGTTGTTCTCCGGGTCTGACACTGGTAGTGAGACTAGGCACTTAAAGAAGGCTGCTGCAGTCACTGGTGTAGGCCAATCAAGTTTCAAAAACAATGCCCATTAATATCAAGAGCGTGTTTTGTTTGCATGTTCACCGCAAAGTACCGTGCGTGTGGTGAATGCACGACATTATTCCTTGCAAAAGGTTTCCATTTGGCGTTTGAACATCATAACACGACTCCTGTTGTATTGCCAGAAAGGGTACAAAACTGGTAATGTTTTTTTTCATCCTTTGATACTGTTAACAAAATGTCCCATTTTTGTAGCTGCTCACCCCTAGCAATGAATGCTCTGATACGTGAATTGTCTTTGTACTGTTCGCCTTAGGGCGTTGTTCTCCGGTCTGACACTGGTAGTGAGACTAGTCCCTAAAGAAGGCTGCTGCCGTCTCTGGTGTAGGCCAATCGAGTTGCAAAGACAATACCCAAATATATTATGAGAGCGTGTTTAGTTTGCATTTTCACGAGGTACCCGTGTGTGGTTAATGCAAGACATGAGTCTTCGCTTTGCGGAAGTGCTGAGCATCTCTTGCCTCTTTGAAGATTTCACGGCTGTGTTGTGTATTGTCCTTGTGCGTGTATAGCACGCTTGGCTAAGTATGGTGCGAAATAAAGGTTCCACGTACGGTCTAACAGTGCGTGGAGTTTTCAAAACGCGAATTTGATGATGAAATGACGCGATGACGAACGTATTAAGGGAACGCATTTTTTTCATGGCCGCGGATGCGAATTGGATGTACTAACGCGATCGAGCGAACGGAACTGCGTCGCGCGAGTAGGAACAAGCGGCCGTAACGGCTGCCTCTGCGAAGCATCATCGTCGCACGAGGCATTGGGATGCTGCTGGATGATTCTAGACGCTACGCACGCGCCTCAGTCTTTGTTCAGCCTGTGTACGCATCATCTCACACGCTATTGCGACCTGTGCTTTACCCCTTACATGATATATCATTTATTGAGTTATTCAGGAACGCAACTACTACCACCGCCGTGTTGTAGGAGAACACGCTGTACGTGCATGCAAAAGTCTCTATTTCTGTTCCTTCTCAGATGGATTCGGGCATTGGGTTGCCCTTCATCAAACAAGAATACGATGGAAATCCATTCGCCGTGATGTCTTCTGACTTGACGGTGAAACGTGAACATTCAGATGTTGGTGAGACACTTAAAAAAATGCACGTCTCCCGCGTGGTCACATTTCAATCGTTGTTAACAGCATGTCCTCCATTGGCACACAGTGAACAACAAAAGCGCGGAGAAAGCAGTGGCCTTCATTGGGTTAAGAAGAGATCGAGGCCATCGTTCGTGATGGCCTCGTCGCTCCTGCAGAAAAAAATGCGACATCGCTCAATTTGGGGGCCTTTCACCAGGTCAAATAAAAAACAAGTTTAGTTTAGGAGACTGCTGTTGAAATTGCTCCGTGGTGTTTTAACCTTGGGGCCCTTCCCCGACAACGTGAGGTTCTGCCGGCTGTGGGAATAACTCGATTAAGCACGTTGCTGCATTTCGTGATATAAACACAACTCCGCTATGAATTTTGTTTTCCCTCACATTTGTTCAAGTTCCGTCAATGTCAAAGGCATTTAAAAAAATGTTATTTTACCAGTTAAAGCCCCAGTGGGCTGCTATATGTAGCTCTTTTTAAGAAGCTGACGTGGCTAACACAAATAATAGCTCAACAAAGTGGCTTTTCACGTGTGAAATTTATACCAGCAGCCAAATATTCTAAACCCATAGCGCTACAGACCCATAGATATACGTAGAGACCCACCGAGACCCATTTTCAGAGAGAGCCATAGAGACCCACAGAGATCCAAGACTCCTATAGAACCAGAGACCCACATAGACCCATACTCGCATGTTTCTAAATATATTTCCATTCACATTACCCGATCTCTTGGCGATTGAGACAACGCACGATGTCGGTAGAATGCCGACAGAAATTACTTCACAAGATGACTGTAGTCACTTAAAATCTTCCCTTTCATCTCCGGAGCAAGCGTGTTACGTGACTATAATACCTGTACTTCTCGTGTCAGTGAAATAAAACTTTTATCGCTCACTGATGGGTTAAGCTGCGTAGAGTCAGACAAATCTAATGTGAGAATTTCGTGTGTTAATTGGTCTTCTACTTTCGTACAGCTGCTGATGTAGATGGCAGGGAAAACAATTACAATTTCACATTCAGTTTAACACGTAGGCTTTCGCGACCAATATTATTCACAATAAAGGTTTTTGGGTTAGATCGCGTTATTTATAAATGTGTCGTAACCCTCCACCACCCGACACGGCCAATCAGCAAAAAAGTGTCACGCTGACAAAAGACAAATAGTTCACTACTTTAGCCCACCGCTGTGTTGAAGAGTGAATCCACAACATTTACAGTTTGAGTACGACATTTCACTGGTAATTACATCCAGCATCATCGGACAATTCTGGCGAATTGCCCGATGATGCTGAATGCCAGAATTCCCTGATGATGCCAGAATGCTCCATTCTGGCGAATTGCCCGATGATGCTGGATGTAATTACCAGCGAAACGTCATACTCAAACTGTAAATGTTGTGGATTCACTCTTCAACACACCGGTGGGCTAAAGTAGTGAACTATTTGCATTTTGTCAACGTGACACTTTTTTGCTGATTGACCGTGTCGGGTGGTGGAGGGTTACGGTACATTTATAAATAACGCGATGAAACCCAAAAACCTTTATTATGAATTTCACATTCAGTTTGGTCATGCCCAGATAACCACGTCAGGAGCAGCGGAGTAGTCTATCATCAACTCTGTGATGTCACCTTACTAGTTGGTAGATCGGGGAATTGCGTTATACATTACACGGTCTGTTCATTGGCGATTGGGCTGTACCCATCGACTCGCTACATTTGGGAGGCGCAGTTTTAATCGCAGGCTTCCGAAACCCCAGATACAAACTGCAGGATGTCGACGGTGCTGGCTCAGGAGTATCTGACAATCATCGTCTCTCTCTAGCCCTTCAGACACCCCTGGCTCCGCCACCCCGCGCCAACGATTTGTCCGTAATGGTCGATTGAACGCACGGCGTGTGCAGGAGCAGTGGCGACGCAAGAAGATGAGGGGAGTCTGGGCACTGGGATTTTGAGGATTGTGGTGAAAACCGAAGTGGAGGAAGATGGTAAGACCCCCCCTTCCTACAGGCAGGCAGAGCGGAAAGCAATAAACAAAATGGCCAAAAAAACACCGTCGACAACAAGACGTCAAGAATTATACGATCCTTCTGTAGAAACACCCCTCGCCCAGTCTTTATTATTTGTATGCTATGTTTGGTGGTGTTCCTTTGGCAGTGGTGCACAAGCACAACCAACAGCAATCATTTGTCAACAACACTGCCCCGTAGAACGTAACTATACATATGCACAGGCATATACCCCCTGTTTGCGCCCAGGATGTGTTCCTGAAGAGCAGAACGTAAATGGAAAGAACTTGAATCGAAGAAAGGAGATGGGATGGGGTAGTGGGATTGTGGATTGTAGCGTGGTACAGTAGCTACTCCTACTTAGTAGTACCTACTACGGCTATGTAGTAGGTACTATTAGAGATGGGACAGTGGATTGTTACGTGGTACAGTACCTAAACAGAGGATGCTCCAGTAACCCATTGCGCATATATACCACAGCACCGTCGGTGTGAAAAGTGTATATTATTTATATATTCATTTGTATTACTATCTATTATATTAAATGTATTACTGTTGGGTTTTTATCGTTGAAAAAAAATTTCGGTGTGGGAAAAAATAGAAAAAAATATGGTACAGTGTACACACGAGACTATCCAGTCAGGGACACCAACGCTTGCGCGCCATCTGGCGCACGAATATCGCATTGCAACGTCAAAATATTTGGGTCTAGAGGGTGGTAAACAAAAAAAATAATACAGGGACTCCTCTACTGACGAAAATTATGAACAAACCCTGTTTGTACGTCCAGTTGCCTGTTTTGACTGAGAGTCGTAAGTGCAATATAGATGGCGGTGATGGCATCTTCCATCTGCAGAACGTTAATAACCAGTGGCATTTGCATCTACAGGAGATTATACGTTTAAAGCCATCCCCCGTGTTTAATGTACGTGCCGTACAACATGTTTGGAATCGACGGGAGTAAAGTTGGCCTTCCGAATAAACCAAATTGCGGACATACCTCTGGAACCTAACCCATTTGTAAATAGAGGAGTCCCTGTAATCTTTTTACCCGTTCTGGAAATAACACAGGAGTTGTGTTATGATGTTCAAATGGACACACACTTATAGCAAGGCATCATCAAGTCCGCATGAACCACAATACTTGTGGCAGCACATGCAAACAAACATGCTCCGATAATAATACTATACACGGATTGTCTTTGAAATTGATTGGTCTAAACCTTGTCTCACCACCTGTGTGAGACCAGAGAATGCCAAAAGTTAAACGGCGTAAATAAAGAATTAGTGGCTCGGGTTGAGCAGTTATATCGAAACGATATAAAAAATAAGAATAAGTTTTATACCCGTTCTGGTAATAAGACAGGTGCGTTAAAAACCGTTGGGGTCTTGGTGATAAAGTTGGTAAATGTCGAGTACGTTATGGCGCGGTACCCACGGTACATAAATCAGGACTGGGTCTCAATGGTAGATTTAGTTGAGTTCGGTAAATATATTTGAGTCTGCTTTGAAAATCCATCTCTTTAAAGTGGCCTTCCCTCTTTAGTTTGGTCGGTTGCCCCCTGGTTCCGTTTTTTTGTTTCCTGCATTCCACGCATTGCGCATTGGGATCCTAGGATGGAACGCACAGTATAAATTTGAATGATTATTTTTCGATTAGTCGAGTACGTTGTCGCGAAAGTACGTAACAACGGGAGGGGCGTGAATCGGGGCGTTATTGTGAGAGGCAGCATCTGGTGTAAGGGCCCCCTTCTCTAGAGCACACTGGGTCAGTGTTGTTGACAGATGCGTTGATTTTTTTTTAGTTCGTTTTGTTTTTGCCTTTCGACACCCCTGAATGCATCCAAAGGCCACGGTGCGTTTTATAAATTACAGCTGCAGATCTGCAAATTTTGAAAGTCGAAGGATGCAGTGCGAGCGCATGGGAGAAGGGGGATTCCCTCGAAGGACGTCCGGACACTTCACACGAGAACTTCATCAAGGTGGAGTTGCCGAATGAGGACGTTGGTGAAGAAGGTGAGTTCTCCTCTGGAGGGCCCACTTTAAATCTTGAGTTCGTAGGTCATGGAATGCCTCTCTTGCGTATTGGGGCATCGCGGTAGCGAGATGTTAATTCTCTCGCCTGATATGCAGGAGGTCGTGGGTTCGTTCACCGACCCTGACGCCTGCTGTATATTTGGAGTTTGCATGTCCTCCCCGTGATCACAATCGCAGATGAAGTGCAATGCTTTTTTAGTTTTTTTACTAACAATCTTATCCCAGTTGAATAAGAATCTTCACGTAAAACTATAAACTAAACATTTTTAATTTATTTTACCAGGTAAGGCCCCACTGAGCCACCCTACGTAGCTCGTAGCTCATCACAAATGACAGCTCAACGAAGTAAGCGGCTCACCGTCATCACGTGGAAATTTATAGCGAGAAGCCACGAGGAGATGTTAACCACTCTCTCGCCTGGTATGCAGGAGGTTGCGGGGTTTTTTGTTTGTTTGTAATTTCGCTGAAGGAGGGAGACGCGGGGGGGGGGGGGAGGTGTGGGCCCGTGGGGATTCCGAGCTACGTTTTCTAACGTAACTCGGACCAGGAAGCAAGTTATAATTTTTTTTCCCCGCTCGCTCCGGAAAAAACCAGGCGCAGTGCAGAAGAATTCGGCAAAGTTCCGGGGGGTGGCGTCGCGGCCGCTCGCCAAACGGGGGCGCCGTCGCGTCGGAGACCCCAAGGGGCCACGCCGTTGCTCGCACTCCGCCACGGGCCGTTCGGCCGCAGCGACGGGCCGCTTGGCGCCAACTTACACGGACACTACGACGGCGACCGCTGCGGCACCGGCGGCGGCGGCGGCACTGACGGTACAGGCGGCGGCCGCCCCCCCTCGCTCGTCGAGGAGAAGGGCGAACTTCACGTCGGACGAGTTGGAGGCCCTCGTGCGCTGCGTCGGGGCCCACCTCAGCGACATCGACCTTGTGCCCAACGGCCAGAGCACGCGCCACGCGAGGAAGGAGCGCGCGTGGCTGGACGTGGCCTCCGGCGTGAGCGCCGTGGGTCTCTGTCGATCCGTGGCGGAGGTGAGCACCGACCGCTGACGCGAGTCTTTAAATCTCTGTGGCCTCGTGCCCCCCGCTCCTCTCATCCTCTTCGTTCCCAGTCTCTGTCTGCCCCCCCCCCCCTTCTCCCAGTGCCCAGTGCTGTGTTGGGTCCTTCTCCCTCCTTGCACCCCTCGACTGGAATCAACTTCCCCCATATATTATAAGCAGCACTGCACCATAGACTCAACACTGCCCACAGACTCAGCACTGCCCATAGACTCAACACTGTCTATAGATTTGACACTGCCCGTAGACTGGACATTGCCCAGAGACTCAACACTGCCCATAAACTCAGCACTTCCCATAAACTCAGCAGTGCCTATAGACTCAGCACTGCCCACAGACTCAGCACTGCCCATAGACTCAGCACTGCCCACAGACTCAGAAGTGACTCAACACTGCCCCTGTACATGAAGCAGTCCCCCCTCATTAAGCTCCTTCCATTCTTCTCTCAAAGCCTCACCTCTTCTCCATCATCACCCATCGCCTTCCCTTCCCTTTCCCCTCCACTCCTTCCTGTCCCTCCCCTGTAGCCCCTTTCGTCACCCTCACGTGCCCTCTGTTACCCCTGCCAACTGAACCGCTCGGTATTTGTTACCACTTTTAAACTCTGTCGAGCGCTTTCTAAAGATATTTTAAAAACGTAAGAAAGTTGTTGATATTCTTGGTTCTTTCAGTAAAGTCACGTAGAAGGGAAATAATAAAATAATACAAATTAAACATTTTCTTGCTGTGGTTTTCACACCTGATGATGATTGCTTGTGTTGCAATCGAAACCTCGTGAGAATTTTATTGTTTTATTTTTATTCTTTTATTATTTCCCTTCTACGTGACTTTACCAAAAAAGACCGAAGCAGGAGGATTTCTCCACAAATCTGTCCGTCGCCTGATGATGCTGTTGGGGTAATTACTGGCACAATGTCACAGCTACTCGAATTGTGAATGTCGCAGTGGGTTTTACTCTCCAACACACAACCGGTTAGTGCTGTACTAGTAACGAATTGGCCACATTTTGTTTACGTGACAAACCCTTTCCTAATTGGCCGTGTCAGGTGGTGACGCGGTTTTAATTACGCATTTATATTTACGCAATCTAACCCAACAAAAACATCTCATGTGATTGCTTTCGTACGCTCCGGAACCCCCCCCCTAAACCGCTTTGCGCCGCTGCAGAAGATCTGCGGTGGTGATGCGGTAGCTGACGACCCCTTTCGAATTAATTCACGAAGGTGCGGGTAGGCAGAGGACACTTGGCGTTGCCGGACATCCGCGAGTGAAAAATAAACGAGGGCTTCACGTCCCGTAGGAGTCCTCCGCGCCCCAAAATAAATCCAACGTCCCGATTTCCGAACGTTAACTCGGTGCACGTCCCCGTCGTTCGTTCGTTCGTTCCAGGTCAAGAAGAAGTGGTTCGACCTTAGGAGTCAAACGAAGAGGAAGGCGGCAGCTCTGAGACGGGAGGCCGCGGGCGCGGGCGGCCTTCTGCTCGCCGCCCTCCAACTCAGCCCCATCGAGGAGAAGGTGGCCGCCATGTTGGAGACGACCGAGGCCATCCGGTGCCTTGCTCCTCGCATGCTTGGTAACAGTAGGTTTGGTTTTATTTTAAACTAAAACGACTATTAACTTTTTATGTATTTATTGTTACCAGGTGCAAGGCCCCCCAACCCGAGGTACTACGTAGTTCTTTTTCAGAAGCGACACCTGGCCATCACAAATGATAGCTCGACGAAGCGGCTTATCGTACATAATGTGGACATTTACAGCAGCGGCCAAATACTCTAAATGCATAGAGATAGACTCGCATATACCCGTAGAAACCCAGAGATCCAGAGACTCGTGTCGAGTCACAGGGCCATATTCAGAGAGCCATAGAGACCCATAGATTACCAGAGACTCGTAGAACCTTAAGAGACCCACAGTGACCCATACTTGTATAGAATCTTAGAGACCCATATTTAGGGAGAGCCATAGAGACCTACAGAGATCCAGAGACTGATAGGACCATAGGGCATCGTAATGCAATTCTTTTCTTGTTTTACAAACAATCATATCCCAGTTGAATCAAAATCTTCACTTAAAACTATAAACTCAACAATTTTTCTTCATTTTACCAGATGTAAAACCCCCACTGAACTACAACGTAGCGCTTTTTCAAAAGTGACACTGGCCATCACAAATGATAGCTCGACAAAGTGTCTCGTCTTGTCGTCGTCGTCGTCGTCATCATCGCGTGGAAATTTATAGCAGCAGTTAAATAATCTAGACGAGGGGTCGGCAAACCTGCGGCTTCTGAGCCCCACGCGGCTCTTCGAGGACTGCTTCTTCGTGGAAGTTTATTTATTTATTTATTAAGGATCCACCACCGTCTCGTATGCGCGCTGCATTGAGGCTCTTGAAACAATAACTTTATTTGACCAAATTAGAAAACTAATCTTCTTCACTTGCGAAGAAGAAGAAGATTACGAACGGAACCCGTTCTTTACTGACGAATGGAATCCGTTCGTAAGTAGGCCCGGGGGATTGGCCGCATTAGCTTTTTTGTTTGATCGTGTAAGCGTTATCGTGTACACTTGAACCCTTTGCCATTTCCATACGCATACCGACCAGGACCAGCCGCTAATGCGTCCGTCATGAGTTTTTCGGACGATTTTGTTCTGATGAATGACACGGGAAGAAAAGCTAAAATCAAATAACTTTGTCGGAACACCGAGGCTCCCACCACAAAGCCCACGCGGTGAGGGGCGTGTCGCACGGTTTTGCCGCCGACTATCGTAGAGTGGCGGCGGTCGTGTCGCTACGATTCTCTGCGGTGAGCAAACGGCGTCTTTATAAAAACAACGGAGCTACTGCTGCTTCTACGCCTCTCTCTGAATAAAATTAACGCTGAGCTGTTCCGCGCGCGTTCCGAGATTCGGCGGTGAACGGGGCACCCCACCCGCACACCACCCTGCGACCTGCCAGACGTCATTGTTGAACGGGAGAAGGGTTAATAAAGTGTCTCACCGGCATCTGAATGTTCACGTTTCACCGTCAAAGTCAGAACACATCCCAGCCAGCGATTGGACTTTCTTCATTTTCTTGTTTGATGAACGGCAACTCGAAGCGTGACTCCATCTGAGAGAAAACTAAAATGGAGATCTAGACACCCTATTGAATTAGCATATCCGCACGCACACACAGCAGTTTATTCTCTCGTTATTCACGAACTTGCAATTCTGGCAATCCACCACCCTGCAACTTTTTCCAGATGCCCAAAAGACGGAGGATAGAGGTGTGTAAAAATTCCCACGTCTCACGAGACATCTGACCAGCATGGAAGAGTTGGCCAACATTCCCTCTCAGTGAGGGGGTGGGAGGGGGTCGTTCTCTGGCACTCTGTCTCGCGTGAAGCCCTTCCAGTAGCAGTGGCGTGAGCAAGGAATTTCACGGCTGCAGCTTTTTTACCAGGTCGCACTCATTAGACAAAGTGTATCTCTTTCTCTCGCATACTCATGCATGCATACACACGCGTGTGTGTGTGTGTGTGCGTGTTTTACCCGGCAGAGCGTCCCGGTCTTACCAAGGCAGTCGCCACTAAAGTAGCTCCCCCAAGCCACGCAACCTCCACCGCCGCCAGTGACCAGGACAGCCGCTTGGCCGCCGCGCCGTTGACATCCGTCCAGCCTCTGCGTCCGTCGAGCACCACCTTGCTCGATCCTCTGGGCCCCGACGAAGATCACGTTCCCGCCAACGACGACGGGCCTCCCGCGTGGACGGCCTGCCCCGGACGGCCCCCTCCCGGCGGCCCCGACGGCGTCGCCGATGTCCCACCGAGTTCCCCGGAGCGTCACGGTGCCCCGCTCTCCAAAGGCCTCGCGGCTCCGTCGAAGCGGGCCTGCCGGGGTCGTCCACTCAGGGGCGGACGTGGCGGGCGCGGCGTGGGTGGCGGCAAGGGTGGCGGCGAACGTTGGGACCCCAACGACGGCGGCGGAAACGCGCGCCTCGTCCGGCTGATGGAAGAGCAGACGGCGCTGCTGCGAGCCGCCGCGGACAAGCTGAGCAGGGGGCTGAGGACCATCGAGGAAGACCTCAAGGGGTTGAGGAGCTTGGCCGAGTCTCAGGCAGCCCTGTGGAAGAACTGGCTGGAGGTGGGGCAGAGCGGTCGACCGTGACGCTGAGCAAGTCTCGCGCGCGCCCGCACGGGCCAACTCGTTCGTCGGCGATTGCTCTCGCGTTTGACGTCGGTTGTGAGTTCTGTGCGTGCGGACAAGGACGCGGTTTAAAAAAAAAAAAAACTAGCGAAAATTGCACGGAGTGTTCTTTGTCGGAAGGAGGAAGATTTAAAAAAAAAAGGTCGTCAAAGTCGACCTCGCGATTATCAAAACACCGAAATCTCACAAATTCAAATGCTCGTGACGATTATCTGAACCACCAGCCCTGGGCCCTCCACGAGGTTCCAACTACCAGACTCAAAATGAGTAACCACCACCCCCCCTTTTGCCGTGTAAACATTGCCACGAGGTAGACAAAGGTGGCGGCAGCCTTGATCACTCCACTGTTAGATTTTAAAAAAAGGACCTCTTTACCTCGCTACCTCACGCGAGATTCATCTCCAGTTGCACAACCGTAGCGGGTTGGCCGGGAGAATTCCTACCGGAATTGCCGTTCCATCTCTTCCGCGGCGGGTATTTTAAGGAAGCGATCCTGGAGATTTTTTTTGTAACGGGTTATAGTTAACTAAAATGTTAACTAATCACATCCGTCAACCCATATGGTTTGCCCGTATTCTTGTACAGGAAAATTTAGTTTTCAGTTCCATACAGTGTACAGCCGTTTCAATATGGGCTATTTTTTTTGTCTGTGTTTCTCTCTTGCGATGGGACTGCAGGATGAACATTGATATTTATAAGGGCACGGGGTGACCAATAAGGTCTGAATTGGTCTGTACTAAGGTACAGCACTGATAAGGGATTGACAAGTATGCACATAGAACCTTAGACCCATATACAGTGGTACCTCGGTATACATCGTTAATTCGTTCCAGAAGGGGTAGGACTTATACCGAAAATGACGAATACCAAACCGAATTTTTCCAATAAGAAATAAAGGGGAAGGAAATAATCCGTTCCAGAGTATATGAAATTATATTTTATATGGCATAGTATACATTAATGGGGTTGTGTAAACTAATTTAGACACTACTTAGTACTAAAATGCATACATTGAAATAAATGCATAAATACATTTAAATTCAAATATAGCAAGGGTTGTGCACTGAACGAGATCTACAGGCAGACTGAGGAGCGGCGCTTTGTCTCAGTCGTGAACGGGGTCTACGCGGGGACGCGGTGACTCATCCCTGCCCGTACAAGTTCTAACAAGCGCCTCGTATCCCAAGCAAGACGTCGTATCCCAAGACATTTTTCTTCTCGTCAAAACACAACGTGTACCAAATTCGACGTATTCCAAAGCGGTTGTATACCGAGGTATACAATGCTTGTTTGACTAACAATGACACCCCAGTTGAATCAGAATCTTCACTTGAAACGATAAACTAAACCTTTATTTTACCAGATGTCAGGACCCCCCCCCCCGCCCACAGAGCTACCACGTGGCTCTTTTTCAAAAGCGACACTAGCCACTATTGCATTAGCATCTACGCACACAGCAGTATACAGGTAGTCCCCGAGTTACAACGGTCCCCGAGTTACGATATTTCGATCTTACGATGGCGATAGCGATACGACGAAATTGCAAAATATTTTAAATTTTGCGCGTTAGGCAAACGCAGCAGCGTACTACGAGGTACGATGCTGTACGTTGGGACGTTGCCGGGATGTACGCACCCTCCCGCCTTGTGTGATGCAGATAGGATTGTTTCCTGCAAAAACTTTCTATTAAATTCCAGTTCATATAGGTAGGCTAAGAATTTACCTTGTTTTTTTTTACTTTACATTTTACTGTGCAATACAGTATTGTAATTAATAAATACACACAGTATATAGTTTATACAGTACGGTACTGTAAATTGCTCTGTTTTGCTGAATTATCACCATTCTTTAAGACTCCTGGGTAGGCGAGGCCATCTTCAGCTTGCGATATTTTTGCCTTATGATGGGGTCTTCGTAACGCATCGCCATCGTAAGTAGAGGACTACCTGAATTCCCTCGTTATTCACGAACTTGCGATTCTGGCCATCCACCAACCTGCAGCTTTTTCCAGACACCAAAAAGATGGAGACGTGTGACAATTCCCACGTCTCGCGAGATATCTGACCACCGGCATGGAAGAGTTGGCCAACATTCCCTCTCAGTGAGGGGTGGGGGGGGGTGGGAGCGGGGGTCATTCTCTGACACTCCGTCTCGCGTGAAGCCCTTCCAGTCGCAGTGGCGTGAGCAAGGAATTTCAGGGCTTGATTTGAAGCTTTCGTGACTGCAGGAATCCATACTCTTTGTTACTTTCGGTAAAGTCATATTTCATACCTACGTGACTTTACCGAAAGAACCAAATAATATAGTTTCAGGGCTGCAGATGTTTTACTTTATCCCAGGTCGCACTCATTACACACAGTGTATCTCTTTTCTCTCGCTTACGCATGTATAATGGGTTCCGGAGACACTTGTAGAGGCCACGTATTTATTACACACACACCACTAACTACTGTACACTAACTACTCGTACAGTCTATCTCTAAATAGGCTTCCGCACAGCCCATCATACGCCGCCTAGGTTTACGCTCCCAGGTCCTCCGGCTATGATACCCTACGGGAGGCTGTCTGACCTGACCCAGCCAAGGTACAGGTCTAACCACTGGCTCCTCAGTCATGGCCCTTACAAGGACATCAGGTAAGGGAGTCCCAGGGTCCACCTCTGGCCTCACAGAGCCCCGGCCCTTACAAGGACAGCGGAGCTAGGGGTCCAGGGTCCTATTCTAGCAGGTCTTTGGACTGGCCTCGAACCCCTCCAGAGGGGTCCCTCTTTTATACCCTTCTCTTTTATACCCTTCTCAGCCGAGGGGCGGGGCTCTGTGGGATCGTAGAACACCCCGCAGCGCCCCCCATCCGTTGGGGGGGGGGGGGGGGGCTGCGAGGGATCCCAGAACCCCCCACAGCCCCCCACCCGCTTCTGGGCTGTCTGCCGTTGCAGACAAGTGCAGCCCATCTACGGCGCTACACATGCACGCACACATACGCGTCTGCGTGCGTGGCCTATCGTCGTCATCGTCGCCTGGAAATTTATAGCAGCAGCAGCAGATAAATAATCTAAATCCCAGGAGTCGGCAAATCTGCGGCTCGTCAAGGACTACTTCTTCATGACAGGCATTTATTAAGGACATACCAACGTCTCGTATGGCACACTGCATTGCAGCTCTTGAAATATTGACTTTTTTGGTTTGTTTGCCGAATCAGCCACTGATAAGGTGGTGGATGAGCGGGTGGGTTGACAGGTTATGACCAATATACAATGAACGCACAATTCACACGGGAGTTCATTCATTGTTTACGAGAGAGATTTACAAAAAAACCCGTAACCGTCCGTGGATTTCTTTTGACGGCGTAACGACGCAGTGCGGATAATGTGGAGCGGAGGTACTGTCGGAGCTGACGCGAATGTCGTCTGTACGTCCCCTTACAAACGTTGCCTGGATGTTTCCACCCAAGTGCATTCCCGGTCGAGCGATATACATTAAAACATTTGAAACGTATTTTGTTGTTAGCTAACAGTTCAAAAGATGAACCCTAAACATGAATTACGGTAGTGAACAGATCAGTGCTAATTCTTGAGCTAACGTAATTGTTTTTCCATCATATATCTTTTTTTGGGTTAGAGCGCGTAAATAATAATGTCGTGTTGTTAAACCCGCCACCACCCGACACAGCCAATTAGTAAGGTTTGTCACGTAAACAGAACACGCCAATTCGTATTTTTGTGCAATATTTATTATCCGACATTCACAACGGTTATATCTTAACAATGCATAGCTCCAAATGTACACATTTGTTTTAATCAATGACACTCAAAAGAGTCAACGAAGCTCCCCCCGTGTAGCCTACTGGCTACCTTCAGAGATTTGTTTATGAAGCCATCCAGATATATAAACATAGACACAACTTCAACCGAGGGGATGGGTACAAACTGAGCAATCATTGGAAGGACGTTATTAACCAGGTAAAGTTTTAACTGACTGTGATGTTTCCATCCTACCTGCCTATGCCAGCTGTTATTTCATGCTAATCTCTCACATTATCATAGCTACTGCCGTGCCCAGTTACATGCTAATTTCTCACTTTAACATCATGCTAATATCTCATTATCATAGCTACTTCCGTACCCAGTTACATGCTAATTTCTCACATTAACATCACTAGACCCAGCCACTCCTTTATAACCCTTGGGCTACACCCATTTCAGACCTTTGGAACGGTCTGCATCAGCAGCAGGCGACGCTTTCCCACCTGATGACGGACGCTTGTGTTGCGCTTGAAACGTCGTGATTTATTTGAGTTTCTACCTACTACGTGACTTTACCGAAAAAACCAAAGAGTATGGATTCCTGCAGTCACGAAAGCTTCAAATCGAGATTACACTGTAGGGGCAAGGGGCTGTTAGTAGCGAGTAGCAGCACCTATGAAGGCCGGCAGCTGTGGCAACACAAGGAGGGGGTGGGTGGCCAGCCTCACGCCCGGCCGCCTTTGTCTCCCCAGTGGCGATGTCTGCTGCACACAACCAGTTACTCATTTGAGGCCGAGTCGACCTAGGGGAGGGCCTAGCACCGGTTCCAGATAATCGAACTCGGGTAGCTGGGTGCGTAGCACAGGGCGCGCTAAACGCTACACCACCGCTCCCCACATTTACACGCTCCTTACACCACCACAATAAAATCTGAATATTTCTACTGCAGGAGAAATCCGATGAGCTGTTAAGCTCTTTGTTCACGGATGTCCAGTTGGGACACGGGGTAAGAACGTTACAACAACAGACAGTACACGAAAGCAATACGAGCACAAAGTATAGGAAAGGTAAAGAAATCGCTTAACAAAAAACACTTTGACGGCTTGACATTGTGAACTAGGATAAACAGAAATAATTGCGTTACGTTATTTTGGAAGAGGGAACACCCACAAACATTTCTCCGAATGGATTCAAAGTCAAGAGTTGGCAACCCCCTAACCTGTTGGTGGCTACTGCAGGGGCGGAGCCAGGATTTTGACTTTGGGGGAGGCTGACTTCAATATTCTGAGATATCTCAGTGTGTAATGTTTTCCAATGGGCGCCACAAATGTATAAAACAAATTTGATTGGATTTGACCGCGTAGTTTATTAATAGGTCGGAGCCGCTGACGTGGCGAATAAGTTCGATAAGTTCGAAAGGCTGCCGCTCAAGCAGCCTGCAGGGCAGCACAAGGTGGCAGCCTGCAGGGCAGCACGAGGTGGCAGCCTGCAGGGCAGCACAAGGTGGCAGCCTGCAGGGCAGCACACGAGGTGGCAGCCTGCAGGGCAGCACACGAGGTGGCAGCCTGCAGGGCAGCACACAAGGTGGCAGCCTGCAGGGCAGCACACAAGGTGGCAGCCTGCAGGGCAGCACACAAGGTGGCAGCCTGCAGGGCAGCACAAGGTGGCAGCACGAGGTGGCAGCCTGCAGGGCAGCACAAGGTGGCAGCCTGCAGCATTTTGAAGCAGCCGGATATCCGGTTATCCCGATTACAGACTTTCACAAAATTTCAGGGGGGGCTGAGCCCCCCCCCCCCCCAGTCCCCCCTGTGGCTCTGCCCCTGGTGGTTAAGAAACGTTACCTCCCTCGCCTGGTATACAGGAGGTCGTGGGTTCGATCCCGACCCCGACGATGCCTGTTGCATATTTAAATATCTCTATAATAAAATAAATGTAAGTTTACTATTTGGAGTCCGCGTCTCTCTCTCCCCATGGTGGTGGTCGCTGAGGCTTTTCCTGCGGGTCATTTGGTTAATTTCTCTCCACATTTAGGATCAACATAACGCGTTTAGATTGTTATGGGTTTCTGTGTATCTCTATGGTTCTAACATGTTTACACGATGTAACACGATTTTTGTTCCTGGGTGGTAAGTGATATTATTCCCCACAAACTTTGCTTTTGTGACCAG